GTCAGTAAATGGTTATGGTTCACCAATTTGTTATTATCCCTGTAAAGAAAATAATGCTATATTAACAAATCACATTGAACAGAACAAAACACGTATACGGAACCTGGCGTCACAAAATGTGTAGTGCAGTTACTGTATTCTTGAAAAGAAGGCTATTGACGAAACACAATGATCTCAACAAACCCTGACACCACCGCCCCCACCCCCCAGATCCGCCAATGAATATAATTCTATGAGCGCTGTGCATTGGTTCACCAACTTATTATTACCATCATATAGTAATTTGAGTAAGGATCAAGACAAAATATTTGTGACGATTTACAGCAGAAGCGTGCACAGCTCTGGTAGAAATATATCGTAGCAAGATTCATTTAAATGTCCACAATCTCCAAAACAGTCCTGAAAATGTTCAAAATGCGCTACCACCCTTGGCGGCTCAAGCAGAAAAGAGGGGGACACACCCTCCCAAAACCACCCTGCTCGGTACCTCGTACCTCGCAAGACGCCTACACTTACCCCCCGCCCGCCTTTCCCTTTTCAAAATCCTGGGCGGACCACTTTCAAAATGCTTCCTACGGCTATGAACTCTGCCCCCTGTGAGCACTAAATGACGCGACGCAGTCTGCTGATATTCTCGGTTCCCGTGTAAACGGATCGTCAGTAAAAACGATTTGTTGCCCGCGCGTCGTGGCGTTGCATTTTTCATAGCATCGCGTCGGCCGACGACCGTCGAGTCGAGTGCAGTAAGTGGCCAGAGACATCTGATCTTACCTCCGTTTTACTCAACTTAGAAACCTGATTCAAAGAAAACGTTCAAAATGCGCTACCACCGGGGCCCTTGGCGGCTCAAGCAGAAGAGAGGGGGACACACCCTCCCAAAACCACCCTGCTCGGTACCTCGTACCTCGCAAGACGCCTTCAAAATCCTGGCCGGACTACTTTCAAAATGCTTTCGACGGCTATGAACTCTGCTCCCTGTGAGCACTAAATGACGCGAAGCCGTCTGCTGATTGTCGGTTCCCGTGTAAACGGATCGTCAGTAAAAACGATTTGTTGCCCGCGCGTCGTGGCGTTGCGTTCTTCGTAGCATCGCGTCGGCCGACGACCGTCGAGTCGAGTGCAGTGAGTGGCCAGAGACATCTGATCTTATCTCCGTTTTACTCAACTAAGGAACCTGATTCAAAGACCAAAAAAAGCTTCTATATTTATCTGTCTAAATAATTATATCAACAACTCATTTTTAATTTTTTTTTTGTATCACAAGACTCTTTTTGTTACAACAGCTCACGTATCATAAATGTATACTTATTACTATTATAATTATTATATTATTATAATTTGAAACAGGTTTTGGAATAAGCATCTGCTATAACGTTGGGATCGGCGTTTTAGGTGTGCACTTTAGGAAAGAATTCGAATTAGCAAACAGTCTTGCCTCTGCATTTGTCGGAATTGCTTCAATCGTCTTCCCAGTGTTATTTGACGTGAGTTTATATCTTATCATCATTCGATGAATGTAATAAACAAAACGGTTTCAGTTCTTTGTATTCGTCTGTCTTCTAAATTCAATTGGTCTTGTTCAAAATTCAAAGAAATTTTAATTCAATAATAAAGTGATGCTCCCTTTTGGCCTAATTTTTGCGCTTTTTCTTTCAAACCAAACTTTTCGTTAGGATTTTTATTAGTGCCCTAAAGCTTTGTCAATATATCATTTGTTTACAAAAACTGTTGAATGTACATGTATAGCCCGATTTTCCATATTATGTTCATTACGTGATGGCATGTATGACCATATTTAGGTTTCTCTTTTCTTTCTTTCAGTTAGTAATTGAACATTTTGGATATAGAGGTGCCTATTTGATATTAGCTGGCGTTTGTCTACATATGTATATTGCTGCTATACTGTTTCGCCCAACTGGTCATCACCGAAGAAAACATATCACATTAAAAACTACAAATATGAAAGATATCGTAGCGGTTCCTGGATTACTTTCATACATTATGGTATATACGTTTTTATATATACCCTACATAACATGGATAACTTTTGCTGTACCGTACGCAATTGAGCTTGGGATAGATTCTCTTGTCGCAGCTTCACTCATTAGCGTGTACGGATTCGGAAATATTGGAGGTCGATGTGTACAGCTAGTCGTTACTTACTTTGTAAAGAACAAATCAATGGCGCAATTTTTGGCTGGTCTATGTTTAGCTGCAACGAGTCTAGTCGTATTCGCATTTGTGCAAGATTTCGGATTATTAGTAGGATCGTCATTTATGTTCGGGTTTTCACTTGGATTTTTATTGCCTTCAGTGTCTTTCATTATATGGTATCTTTCAATCGGGAAAGACTTCGAAGTAATTCTTGGTGTTACTACAAGCTTCCTTGGATTACTCAACCTATGCTTTGGAATAGTTATTGGTATGAAAATGCATAATTATCACAATTGCGCTTAAAATCAATGTGCATATATGCTTATCGAGCGTAAAGAGTGTTATAATGTTTGATGTTAGTGCTTGGCATTTATATATCATCAATTTTTACGTAATAACGATATATAAAAATGCAGAAGATAGTTTAAGTGATATGAAAATATGCTTATCTTACGGCATTGATCCGTAGGGGAACCAGTCAACTCGCCCCTATCAAACTCGCCCTTTTCAATCTCGCCCCTATCAAACTCTCCCCTTACAAACTCACCCCTTACAAACTCGCCCCCTATCAAACCTGTCTCTTATACACATCTTACGGAACCTGGCGTCACAAAATGTGTAGTGCAGTTACTGTATTCTTGAAAAGAAGGCTATTGACGAAACACAATGATCTCAACAAACCCTGACACCACCGCCCCCACCCCCCAGATCCGCCAATGAATATAATTCTATGAGCGCTGTGCATTGGTTCACCAACTTATTATTACCATCATATACTAATTTGAGTAGGGACCGAGACAAAATATTTGTGACGATTTACAGCAGAAGCGTGCACAGCTCTGGTAGAAATATATCGTAGCAAGATTCATTTAAATGTCCACAATCTCCAAAACAGTCCTGAAAATGTTCAAAATGCGCTACCACCCTTGGCGGCTTAAGCAGAAAAGAGGGGGACACACCCTCCCAAAACCACCCTGCTCGGTACCTCGTACCTCGCAAGACGCCTACACTTACCCCCCGCCCGCCTTTCCCTTTTCAAAATCCTGGGCGGACCACTTTCAAAATGCTTCCTACGGCTATGAACTCTGCCCCCTGTGAGCACTAAATGACGCGACGCCGTCTGCTGATTCTCGGTTCCCGTGTAAACGGATCGTCAGTAAAAACGATTTGTTGCCCGCGCGTCGTGGCGTTGCGTTCTTCGTAGCATCGCGTCGGCCGACGACCGTCGAGTCGAGTGCAGTAAGTGGCCAGAGACATCTGATCTTACCTCCGTTTTACTCAACTTAGAAACCTGATTCAAAGACCAAAAAAACCTTCTATATTCATCTGTTTAAATAATTATATCAATAACTCATTTTTCATTTTGTTTGTTTCAGAAGACTCTTTTTGTCACAACAGCTCACGTATTATAAATGTATATTTATTACTATTATAATTATATTATTAAATTTTGAAACAGGTTTTGGGATTAGCAGCTGCTATAATGTTGGTCTGAGCGTTTTAGCTGTGCACTTTAAGAAAGAAATCGAATTAGCAACCAGTCTTGCCTCTACATTTGTCGGAATTGCTTCCATCGTCTTCCCAGTGTTATTTGACGTGAGTTTATATCTTGTCATCATTCGATGATTGTAATTAACAAAACGGTTTCAGTTCTTTGTATTCGTCTGTCTTCTAAATTCAATTGGTCTTGTTCAAAATTCAAAGAAATTGTAAAGTGATGCTCCCTTTTGGCCTAATTTTTGCGCATTTCCTTTCAAAACAATCTTTTCGGTAGGATTTTTATTAGTGCCCTAAAGCTTTGTCAATATATCATTTGTTTACAAAAACTGTTGAATGTACATAGCCCAATGTGCCATATTATGTTCATAACGTGATGGCATGTATGACCGTATTTAGGTTTCTCTTTTCTTTCTTTCAGTGTTTGATAGGGGGAGACTGTGTTGGGGGGGGGGCAAGTTGACAAGGGGCGAGTTTTTCAAGGGGCAAGTTTGCTAAGGGGCGAGTTTGTAAGGGGCGACTGTGCAGAGAGAGGGGGGCCAGTTTGTAAGGGGGCGAGTTTGTAAGGGGCGAGATTGTAAGGGGGTGAGATTGCAAGGGGAGAGTTTGATAGGGGGCGAGTTTGTAAGGGGCGAGTTTCATAGGGGCGAGACAATAAACTTTGGTAACGTATGATTGCGCTATGATCTGCCCTACCAACGAGGGGCTGAATCCCCCCGATAGGGTAAGTGGACATGCGAGCGATAGGAGCATTTAGATTGGGAAAAGGGCCCCAGTAGACCCTTACTAATATTTTTGACGAATATCTTTAATTTTGTTTTAAACCAGACCTGTATTGGCCTAACTGTTTCCTTTATAATGTAATGGTACTTAATTCGCCATTTCATTTTGTTCTAATTTTAAACTGGTGGCCATGTCGTAAAGTTATTTTTTTGTCTTCATCCACGCACTTTGCTTTATGTATTTCCAAATTTATCTGAGAAGACCTTTTATTATTCATCTGATTAGTTTGTGGAACATTTTTTTTTCTAAATAAACGAACAATCAAAACAGTGTTCCAAATAAGACCCGAAGATATCTAATATAGTCCTAATTAGGTTTACGAGGGTATGACAGTTAATATACAATTTTAATGACAGTTTTAATATTGTTTTCTTTTTCAGGCGAACTTCGGGGTTTATTTGGCTCTTACCATTTGACGTTCATCATAATTGCCCTGATATTGCTAATGGCGATATTAATATTAGTTTGCACCAAACCTCTTCGACGTATGTTACCGGGTTTCGACTTATCATACACTGAGTTAACACGGCAAGACGAGGACAATGATTAACCAACAAACAAGAAACATCTATTCATTTCCATCGTTGGTTTCTGGCATATATGGTTTTCAGCAAATTACAAGGTTAATTCACTGTCTTTTAGAAGAGACTTTTTTACGGTTAAAAAATAGATAGATGTAAAATAATAATAAAAAGTAAATATTTAAACTTGGCACTCTTGCTCAACACGGCATTAATGCTTCATTTAGATGAGACTTTTTTACATTTTATGTTATATTTCCTTATGCTTTATTGTCAGTAAGAATATTTTTTATAGTTTTTAAAATTTTGGTATTGTTCTAGGCTTATTTATTACCTAGGTTGTGTTTTATTAAAGTATTATTACTAATATATTTTATACTTATTTCTACAGCATTATTTCTTTACGAGTACTTTGCATATGCCTTTGCCTTAGATTTTATTAATGACCACAGTATTGCCTATTTGGTTAATATTTACTATAGTATATTTTTGTATTTTTATCTGTCATTGCTGGATATCAACTTTTTTTTTATTTAGTTATAGTATTATTTTTTGTGATTCTCTAATATACGATTACACACCCCTCTAGGGTGTGCCTATTATAGTAGCTCTTGTGATTTATAGGTCTTTTGTTCTTATTTCTCCTACTATGGTTGGTTTTTCCTGATGATGAAATAATTAATGTCGAAATATTGAATCCCAACACGATGGCGTGTATTTCAATACTTGGAGTATGTATTGTACTTTCTTATGGTTGGTTAATTATGTGATATTGTTTGTTTACCTATTACCGTACTATATGTGTACCTATTCTATGTTACAGCTTTATGTACATGATGATGGACTGTGCCCGAAACATGTATAAATAAATTTCATCAAGCGAGATGACAACCTGTTTTACTTAGTTTTATTTTGTCATCCTGCCTATATATCACATATACGTCTTAGTCTGAGGAAGAGCAGAGGAGTGCTCGAAATATTCGAATAAAAATATAATGTCAAAGTATACATTTCTACTTTGTGTAATCGTACAAATCGTATGAATAAAGGATTACCGCAAGACCATTTATCTCTTCTCGTGTGACACA